GAGAGAGAGAGAGAGTCTGGGTGTTAACTATATTCTGCAGATAGTTTTTGAGATGTCAATAGTAGAGAATAAAAAAATAGATAGAAGGACCAAATAACTTACCAAATAGCCAAACATCTAACCAAATAATATTATATAGAATATAGGGTACCTGTCAAACATAATATATTGATTCACAACTTAACTGTGTGTCTTCTTACCATTTCCTGGCTATTCATGATGGAAAATAATACTGATATCTATTCCCACGGTCATTTCTTATGCAGCTTTAGTAGATGGGCGGTTTTCAATAAATATTCTTAAACACCATATCCAGTCCAATAAGAAGTTTCAGTATTAGCATATTACTTCTGAGAATCGTATCAATGTTCTCTTGTGCTCTGTCATTGATTGATAGTGAGTGTATGGTGATGAAGTTAAAGCCAAGAACCATCATAACTTGTTGAACTATTGCACATTTCTACAGCTTGCAGAAGTGTGAAACTATATATTACTTTGGAAATAGTAATATCCTAAATTGGGAAGGCTATGTAAGACAACTGGATGCACGTAGACCACTTGGAGTATTTTACTTGTGATCAAATATCATCTTTTTAGGCAACCTGTGGGATGTGCTGGTTCTTTTAAGTTCACGGCTTTTTAATTCTTGGAGGAATCTGTTGGAGGTTTGATACCTGCATGATTGAATAGGTGACTCTATTTCTTATAGCAAGTGTAAGAAGGTTCTAAACGTTTTGAAATGGAACGAAGGATCGACTGTAGGGAGTTGCAAGTTGCAAATTATGAGAAAAATGTGGAGCGTTTGGATATAGAAATTTCCGTGGATTGCAGCAGTCAAGGTGTCAAACAATTTGTGAAATTCCAGATTTGTGCAGGTAGTAGATAGTTTACATAAAACTTGAAACCGATACTGTGAAGGAATGCTGGAAAAACTGAGGATATGTTTGGGATCATGGTACAGATTCTACTGAATATACTGGATGGCAATGTAGTATATGTTTTTTATGGGTAATGTAATTTGTATTTTTTATGGATGTAATTACCTAAAAATAATAATCTCAATTGTTTTTTTCCCATAGTGACGAATCTTGACTGCCTACTCTGTGGAGTAAGCAATTACTCTTATGATATGTTACCAGAGTGGCATATTGGATGGGCAAGGTAGTCTACTTTTCTTGGTAGCACAAATAAGCTATTTCTCTTGCCGGACTTATAGTTTTTCACGTGGTTTTGTTGTCCGTGTGTGAGTCCGCAGTTGGTAATGTGCTCCATTTTACCTTTCAATTTATTATTAACCTATCTAAATGAAAAAGGACCTTCTAGTACCTCAATACATCTGTCAACTTAATATATTTCTCTGACTTTTACGTCTTTCATAGATTCGATGTTTTACTTCTACAGGAGAATATTAAAAGGTGTGTCTGCATTATATATGATCCTCAGCGGTCTAGTCAGGGGGTTCTGGCTCTCAAAGCATTGAAGCTTTCTGATTCTTTCATGGATCTTTATCGCTATAACAATTTCTCAGGAGAAAAGTATGATTCTTTCTGTTGCATAAGTAAATCAGAAAATGCTAATTTCTTTCGAACATTTTCTCTCTACCATGAAGATTATTCAATCTAACATGCTTTTCTTGTTCCTTAGGTTGAGGGAGAAAAATCTGTCATGGGTAGACATCTTTGAGGAAATACCTGTATGTTTTTATGTCACCCTTGTTATTTCTGCTTTAACTGACCCCAATTAATTGGGAAAAGGCTATGATGATGATGACTTGTGATTTCTGCTTAAAGAGATGTATGCATGTTGTGATTTAAAAATGATGGATCAATTATTGTGGTCAGTTAAAGATGCATGCAAATTATATTTTTTGCACGTATACAGGTTAAAGTTTCCAACTCTGCCCTTGTTAGTGCTTTTATGACTGAGCTAGAAGCAGATGCACCTGTTAGCCAGGTTTGAGCTTGATACCTTTCCTGGCAGGGTTGCTTTTTTTATTTGTAAGCTGCAATTTTCATTTTCATTTGATGTATATTGTGGCAGTGTGATTATGATCGTTTGGTTTTATCAACAAATCCATTTATGGAGCGGAACTTGGAGTTTTTGGTAGAATGCATGGATGATCTTTCTATGGAACAGCAGAAGGTGGATGGTTTACATTATTTTGTCCCCAGTTCTAGATGTTAGCTGCTCTTCCTTCATTCTATGAGTATGCTTAACACTGAACTGTGTTTTCTGCAGTTCCAATTCTATTACCGCAATCTTTCACGTCAGCAAGCCCAACAGCAGGCATGGCTACAAAAAAGGAGGTGGGCCTAGGAATTTGCTATATAATTACTTCTATTTACTAGGAAAACTTAAAGGAACTAATGTGAACTAATGCAAGCGTTACAAATTCGGGATAATCAACGGGATCTTTGTTCCCATCTCTGTCATTTATACAAGTTGCATGAGGTTGTTATTGCTGAATGTATTTCAGTTTCATCAGTTTGAGCTTGTATAAAATGTGCGATTCATGTCAATTGTGGTACTTAGACATGGTGATAACTCTGTGGCACCAATGCTGTGGTCCAACTGGATTGTCTAAGCTGTGATACATATACATGATGTCATAGTTCTCGCTATGGAAATAATCTAAATTCCACTAATTAAAGGGTTGTTTCTATTAGAAGCATCAACTTATCAGTAAAACATATGTGCAATTATGACTAAATACTAGATGAATTATGTTTGTACAAGACTGGCGATTAAGTGGGGAGGTGCTTTGCCAATCACGAGAGTTGCTCATCTCTAACATGTCTTATTCCATAAGTAACCTTACGAAGGTTTCAAGATCGTTCTTAGACATGCTTCTCTTGAACCTTGTTGTATAGAGTTTTCACCTACATCGGTTGTTGTTGTCAGAACATACTATGTTTTCACATCTTTACATTATCTGTCACTGCATCATCCACAGTTCTATTTTGGCAAAATGTCTTGAAATTAAATCTTAGTAACTTCTAAATTTTTCTTTTTGACTGTTGTAGTAATTTATAAAATCAGGAATCGGGCTTCAGCTTGAGTAATTAGCTTAGCAACCCTACATCTCAAGTTCGACTATTACCACTGAATTGTCCCAAAAAAAAGAATAACTTACAAAATTGTAAGCATTGGAAGTTGATGGGAAAGATAAATGGTTGAAACTGACCTGGAATTGTCTATTTATTTCATATTTTGGATTGCTTCTTGTACTGAGGAAAAATCCTCACCATATCAGAAACTCTCAGACTTTATAGCATCTCTTAATCTGAACTGAGATGGTTAGGTAATTTTCATATTTTCGTCTACTGTAATTTTACATTTTAGGTGAAGTAAACTATAGGCTATGGTAAAAGCATAGCCCTTAAGAGTGTTGATGTGAGGAACAGTGATCTGGAGAAACTGAGACCCACCAGAATAATGAGCCCAAAGGTGGGTCCCATGCTTTCCATCATCATTCATCATTTTATGGCAATGGCACTTAGAGCTATTGTCCTTAGGGCTATGATATACAGTATATACTTAATTTTAAATTAAATTTTGTTTTGATGGTGGATATGGATATTTTTAATTTTTATTCATATGTAATGCAGGGCTGAGAACAAGGCACGGAAAGATGCTGGAGAAGATCCATTACCTGAAGAAGATCCATCAAATCCTATATTCAAGCCAGTTCCAGAGCCATCACGCTTGGACAGCTTCCTTATAACTAATCAAATTTCTAACTACTGCAACCAGATAAATGGGTATGTAATATACTGTATGAAATTATTCCTTGAATTTCTAGATTGTTTCTGTCTGTCATCACAATTTGGTCTGCTTGCTTGGTGAGTATGGTAGAAGGGCTTATCAGATCGACCACTCTAATAATGAAATTGCACATTCATGTTGGTTTCATGGTTTTGATGTGCCCTTCTGCTTGTTTAACTGCACCTTTGTTTATTGAGCTGTTTTTACATGGTAGTTTGGAAATAGAAATGATATTTTATCCATATTTTAAATTAACGAGTGATTTCTTTTCCTAATAAGAATAAAAAAAGACTAAAGAGAGGAAAATGATTCTTGAAATATGAACAGTTTGACTTTGAAAATATAAACCTTACTTAAGAATTGAGAAAAATCTCAAATTCCGTTAACTGATTTGTGGCTTGAACTGGTATGTGGGCTTTGTAATCAAGTTGCAAACATCCTAGAGCATGAACCCCAAATACAATGCGTCTTGGTTTCCTTGCATACAATACCATGAGTTTTTCTTATTGCCTGCTTCAATGGAACTGGAAGGATCTTAATTTTTGATCTCATCATTTTTTCCTAGCTGGTCTTGTTCGCGGCTGTTGTCTGCTTCACATCATCACCTACTAAAATGAGCGCATCCAGCTGTCATACTTGTATTGGGTAGAATGAAAGCTGCAGATTCTCTTTAGCCGTCCCTTTTTTTGCCAGCAATGAGAGTGTTGCTCGCACCATATTTAGGTAACCTGTAGCTTAAATAGGGCTACCTGTTTCTGCTGCAACATGATAAAGTTGCGGTGCAGAAAAGGGAAAAGAAAAAAAAAAAGTGCTGAAGTTGCAGGGTTAGGGAACGTAAAGACTTGCATCAACAAACTAACATGAACAATGAGATATTGTCTATAAACTAGACGTGCCTCTCTCATAGCAATTCTACATACGCAACCACCACTCTAAGAGTGCAACCACTACTCTATGAGAGCTTGTGCAAAGCATCTTATTCATATCCAAATTCTAGCTGTTAAAGAAATAAATATAACTAAAGACTAATGATAAACTGTGATGAGTTTCCATAACAATCTGTTGTGGGATTGGCACCACCATAAAATATCTAGCTGTTGCCGCTGGCTTGTGATGGCTCAGCAGACAATTGGCTGTCTATTTAGGACGGCCTGAGGTGTTTTAATGTGGATGCCTAAGAACTGGTGGATGGTTCTATAATGTGGTTTTGAGTGAATGCTTGAAGCTCTACAAGCATGTTGCGTGAACATTGTGAGACTTGATATCAACAATGCCTCATTGTGGCTTTGGAACCATATTAGGTGTGTGTCACTCAAATCACAGCATATCAAGAATGCTTCTCTCTAGTGGCAAATGAGGAAATATATCTAATGTTCGTATTTCTATCTACCTATCTATCTATCTATCGATAGGTATATACTTTATCGATGGGTATATACTTTATCTTTGCCCATCAAAGGGCATGTGTATGTGTGTCGGTTCATGTATGGAGATGAGAAAACATGCCCATTTGTAAGGGCATGTTTTAGGCCAGTCACGAAGAAAGACTCTGAGCACTGGAGATCTCAACAAGACAGAAAAATTGGAATGCTCTGAGTAAAGGGGCAAAATAAAAGATGATGAAAAGAGGCCTACAATTGAGTTATTATGCCACAACAATGTGACACCTAATGTCAGCCAAGAGTGAAACTTCTTTTATTTAAAAGAAAAAAGAAGAAACGTCAGCTACTGGTATGGCTTAGAAGTGATTCAAATTGGTAATTTAAAGTATTAATCAGATAAAATCCCAAAAAATTGTAAACGTATAGGAATGTTGTATAAATTTTTTGTAATGATTTGGATGTTGTTGGCTAAGATTGGTGAGTGTTTTTTGCCATACTCCCTATTTTTATATTTTTTTGGAAATTTTTAAAGATGTCCTCAGCTATAAATCAATTTTCTTAAATTCATTATTCTATACTTTTTTGAGCTTATTTGGACTTTTAAGGTTGCTTTTGGTTTTATTTTATTGGGCAAGCTTTTTATGCTTCCCCCATTGCATAAAACTTATGTACTTTCTCCTATCCAACCGTCCATTCTGAATGGACGGCTGAGATGATCCCAATCGCAATGTCACATCTCTACACTATTTTATTTTAACTTCTTTTCTACGAAATAGTAACTCCAAATTTTGGGCATTCACTCCTCTATTAAACTCGCAATTGTAAAAAATATAAAAGAAATATTCCCGATAAAATAAAATGACCAAATTTTAGGTGTGCTCCACTGAGAAGATGACACATACTAAATTTGATATTCATACAATTTGTAGAAAAAACTAAAAATAAAATACTCTGAGGTGTCGGATCAAATCAAACGGTCAGTGTTTGACTTGATCTAAATTTGACGGCTTGATGGGAGAAAGTATATATCATCTATGTTGTAGGGGAAGTATAGAAACCTTTCCCTATTATATTTACTGTTTTATTTTACTTTTTCTTTTTTTTTTTGTGAATTTTTCGAGGGCTTTAACTTGGGCAAGTCCACCCAGACTCACCCCCAAGTAACTCACCTTGGGCCACAGCTGAGTACCTAGCCCAAGGTGAGTACCTAAAAACTGCATTCTACCATGTGGAGGGCTTGTGCTCTGCTGCTTGCATTATATTTGAATCTGCCTTGTGCCGTGTTTGCTGTGGTTGTTTTAGTTTCAATGGCTTGCAATGTGTAATTTCAAATGGGAAAAGTTTCTATACTTCCCAAACAGCACAGAAGATCTATGCTTCCCTTACCATCCAGCCATCCAATTTTGATCAAGAGAGTCACTTATTGTTTGATCTTTAGATCCCACGTCTCAAAGTATTTTATTTTTAGTTTTTTTATACAAATTGTATTGAATATGAAATTTGGTACGTGCCATCTTCTCCTTGGGGTGCACTTATAAAAAATGTTAAAAATAATTGTGGATAAAATATAATGACCAAAATACCCCTTGAAACTTTCAGGGGTATTTTGGTCATTTTGTATTATTGGAAATATTTTTTTTTATAGGATTGGACGTACAAAATTTGGTGTTAATATAGTTTGTCAAAAAAATTTAAAAATAAAATAATGTAGAGATGTGACATTGTGATTGGGGCAATCTTAGCCCTCCATTCAGAATGGACGGTTGGATAAAGGGAAGTATATAAGTTTCATGTTGTAGGGCATAGAAAGCTTTTTGTTCATTGCAGCATGCAGTTTATGATAAAATGATTTGTAACAGGGAAAATCTTAATTTGGTTCGAATTTGATCTTTACAGGTTTGCAGGGCAGAGTTTTAGCCGAATTTATTTGATGGATGCAATCCATGACAATTGAGCTGTTAAATATCCAGTTTGACGTTGTCAGGTTTGGAAACTGCATTTCCTTGGAATTTTGCGTGAGGTCAAGGAAAGAGGATACATTAATTTTCACTTCCTGCCATTACTAGAAAGTGTTACAACATTGTTTTGTCAAGAACTTGCTCCAGTTTTCTGTTTTAATAGTAAAACATGTTTCTCTCGGATTTCACCTTTCTACCTTTTTAACCCCTTAAGATCCTCTAGTGGTTTACTAGATAAAGTTCAAAGGTAAATTACTGAAAACAAATGGAGCATTTTGAAGTCTCTTTCCTCAGCAATATTAAAACTTTTTAGCTAGATGGGTGCACCGTGCCATATCCAAAAGTGGCGCTTGATCGATGGAGTCATAGTTGTACTATTTCCTGACAGCAAATTTTCAACTTTTAAGCAATCTGGGTACAATATGCCATTATCAAAAGGGTATGGTTGGCAATTTTCTAAAAATAATGTTGCAGTGTGCTACACTATTTATTTTAATTAGATGTATATTTGAAATGTCTTTAAAGACCTTGGCACATTTTTTAAGATTGTGTCAGATCTACATCATCCAAATAAAATAAGATGGTGTAGATTAATGCAGCTTTCTACAAGTGAGGTTGGAACTTTATGTAAATTTTTTTATTACCAAAATTGGTGTGCTGTAGATTCATAATTGCTCGGAGACATGAGAATCTATCATAGGATTTGAGAGACCTTCATAAATGGGAAGTTCGGATTCATGTGGCAGAAACATCTTGTATCGTGAATTTTATTGGACATGCTAGATCTTATGTTTCTGTCATGGGAGTGAGATGTTCATAAATAGGTAATTCTGATTCATGTTCTACTTCTTGTCTGTCATTCAGTGGATGTTTCTGTACATGCTAGAAAGAACTTATAATGCATGAAAAGCGTTTAAAATAGGATAAACATATAATATGACGGTTTACCATTGGTATGCGGTCAGAATCACCTTTGACCTTCAGATGGGAAATCGGATGGTTGGAGATATGCTAATGACTGTTCAAAACTCCATAAATATTTTTCCTCAATTTTATGAAACCCCAAGCAGTCTATTTGCACATTCAAGGGTTAGTAGTACTTGTGACCTTGTTCTTTATTCATAAAAAGCCCAGGCGTTTTTAAGGCGGGACTAATTAGGTGCTAGAACTAGGTGCCGCCAAGGTGGTCGGGCGGCCGATTAGGCAGAACTAGGTGCTTGCCTAGGTGGTATGCAGCTATGGTGGAAATGTTTTTTTGGGTGGGGGCAAAAAAGTTCATTTTACTCCCTTAAAAGGGGGCGTAAGGGTTTGGGGGGTCATTCTTGTACTCCAAAAATTAATTTAGTGCACTTTAAATAGATAAATAACTTGAAAAAAAATTTGATTTGAAGATTTTTGGGGAGCAATTTTTTTTTTTTTGGGAAATCTTCGAATGGTCACGATATTAAAAGATATTTAACCCCAATAATTTTTAGGATTATAGGATTGTAAAAGAGGAGATTTGGAATCCCAAACATTTCAGTTTGGCCCGAAATTGAGTCTATTTTTGGCATCTTAACAATCTATTACATACAAAATTTATTTATTAAATAATAAAACTGATAATTTTTATATACAAAATTTATTTATTAAATAATAAAATAGACAATTTTATATATAAAATTTATTTATTAAATAATAAAATAGACAATTTTATATATGGGGGAGGTGTGGAGATTCAAATTTTTTTTTTAAAAAAAATCACCAGTGTTTTTTGGTCTTGGCAGCAGCCTAGGCGACCCAGCCCGCCACCGCCTAGCCTTTGCCTTACTGAACACTATATAGGGGAGAATAATTGCTGATGCCATTGACTACATTCGAGTGTTAATATGGGAAATGGTGGTAACACGCCTTTTATTGTTTTGTATACTATCAAGCTCCCATTGTAAATACAAGTTAAAATTACTACCGATTTTACATGGTAGGAATTTCTGTCATAGGACCAAGATGGTGTGAACGCTTGTAATAAGCCCATTTCAATGGATGAATAAAATCAAAGTTTTGAGATACCCAAAATTTTGTTTTCTGGTCTGCTTGATCTCTCTCTCTTTTTTGTATGTGTGCAATTGATTCGTCGAAGTATACCAACATACTTTATCTGCATATACTTTTCAAGCTGAATTTTTACAAACTCAGCCCCTTAGTTTTAGAGATTTTTTCTCAAATTCTGGTTATCAGACCATCATACACGCTCACAGGAATGAGCTTGTCTCATTTTTCCTCAGGGGATCCAGCTGAGAGAAAGACGCTCCCAGATTAGCCAATTTCGTCATTGGCGAGGTTCACCCATCTCCGATATGTGGTAGTTGGTAGTTATATTCATACAACCATGGAGTGCCTGACTAGTTTCAAGCCTTCATAACAGGCGTAGGAAGTTGGCTTCGTGAACGAGGGCAGACGATTAACAGTTTAACCTCTTATAGTGATGGAGGAAGTCTTTTTCAAAAGCGTTTGGAAAATGGACGGTTTTAACAAATCAGATTGAAAAAGCATTTTTAAAAGAGATGGGCCTTATAGTTTTGCCACTTGTGGCCCCTTTGATGGTCATTTTCTGTATTATGTTTTACCTAAAGATGATGAAAGGATTTCCTTGTAGGATCGTGAGAACTCAAAGGTCTTGAAATTATCTTTTTACCTTTGAAGTTTCATCCTGTGCTTCGTGGATCCATAAAGAGTTCTCTAGATTCTTGGTGAGATCATTATATGATATCAGGACCCCACATGGCAAAGGGCCATACAGGCAGTGTTGAATTGAGTGACACGGACGGTGCATAGATGAGGTTTCCATACAGTTGACATTTGGGACACCTCTTAACGAACTTCTAACAATCTTCGGCCATGGTGGTCCAGTAATTGCCTTGGCGCCTGATTTTTTGAGCTAAGACAACTGCCCCAGAATGACCTCCTTCATCATGTAACTCTGTTAGTACTTGGTCGATTTCTGGTTGATCGAGACACCGCAGAATGATGCCATCGAAGGATTTCTTAAACAGAAGCATCTTTCTGCAAGGACAGAACATCGTGGAACTATGATTTTGCTTTAACTAGCACATCTAAAGTCACGAGAGACACTTCTCCATCATTCTCATTTCTTGCTCTATTTCTTCTTCGATCCTTGGTGGGAAAGGATCATGTTTGTTTCTGATGTAGAATGGCAACATGGTGATTTATGAAGGAATTAGCCATTTAAGCAAGGGATGCAAGGGTGTCAGCAAACCGATTATTTTCCCTAATTACGTTCTTAAAGGTGATTTTATTAAAATATGGGATCATGTTTTCCACCTTTTTTTGATAGGGTTTAAGTTTTTCTTCTTTCACCTTCCAAGTCCGTTGAACTTGGTTTATAATGAGTAAGGAGTCACTTATTACTTGTATTTGCTGGATTTTCATTCCCATGGCGTTTCCTAGCCCGGTTATTAAGGCTTCATATTAAAAAATGTTATTGGTACATGGAAAATTCAATCTGATAGCTATTGGCATTAAAATCTTCTTCGGCGAGCATAATATAACTCCTATACCTGACCTATATTCGTTCTTTGCACTGTCAAAGTATAGCTCCCAGATCGAGCTTCAATTGTGAATAGGTTTTCATCTGGGAGATCTGTGTTGACGGGAGTATTATCTGACAGTGCGTGTTCAGCCAAGTGGTCAGCAATGGCTTGTCCTTTGATCGATTTTTTGGTAACATATTTGATCTTGAACTCGGTCAATAGCATTCTCTACTTCACCAAACGTTCATTAAGGACTGATCTTTCCAATAGGTACTTGAGTGGGTCAATTTTTGATATGAGCTTGACTGAATGAGATAAGACATAATATCTTAACTTCTGCATGGTCCACACAAGTGTCAAGCAGTGCTTCTCCACATCCGTGTATCTTGTCTTGTAGTCCACCATGGTTTTGCTGATGTAGTATATCGTTTAATCTTTTTCACGGTCGTCGTATTGTCCTAACATTGCCCCCATGGTCTTATCTTTCACAGATATGTATAGGAACATGAGTTTATCTGGACTAGGAGGACTAAGGATGGTAGGTTGGTAAGGTACTCCTTAATTTGATCAAACGCCTCTTGACATTAATTATCCCATATGAATGGGGTATCTTTTTTAAGGAGCCTATTGAATAGCGCACACTTGTCTGCTAGTTGTGAAATAAAACGCCTTATGGCTTGTATGCGACCTTGAAGCCCACATATTTCTTTGATGTTTCGGGGAGGAGGCATTTCAATGATGGCTCATATTTTGGATGGGTCCACGTCAATGCCTCTTTGGCTTACTATAAAGCTTAATAATTTTTCGGATTCAACTCCAAAGGTACATTTCTGTGGATTGAGTTTGAGTTGATGTTTCCTGAGTCTTTCGAAAATGGTTCTCAGATTGGTGAGATGATCAGACTAGGTTTTCCACTTGATCAGAATGTCATCGACATAGTCTTCCATAATGGTATGCATTAAGTCGTGGAAGATGCTAGTCATTGCCCGCTGATAAGTTGCCCCTACATTTTTTAGGCCGAAGGGCAAGACACAATAGCAGTAGGTTCCCCATTGTGTTATGAATGAAGTTTTGGTTTGGTCTTCTTTTGCCATGAGGATCTGGTTGTAGCTTGAGAAGCCGTCCATGAATGACAACATCTCGTGCCCTCAGTGTTGTCGACTAAGGCATTTATGTTTGGTAATAGAAAATTGTCTTTAGGACATGCCTTATTGAGGTCTCTATAGTCGACACACACTCAGATCCTCCCATCTTTCTTGGGCACGACCACTATGTTGGCCAACCATTCTGAGTAATCGACGGGGGTAATGAACTTCGCCTTGAGTAGTTTATCAATTTCTTCCTTAATTTTGAGCTCGAGGTGGGTCTTTTGACGTCGGAGTTTCTACCTTACAAGCTTTGCTCCTTCATTGAATATTAGGTGATGTTACACCAATGTGGGATCTAGCCCTGACATATCATCGTATGACCAGGCAAAGACATTGCGATATTCCTTGAGAAAGGAAATCTTATTTTCCTGCTCCTCAAGAGATAGGAAGGTTCTAATCTTGGTTAAGCTTGGGTCCTTCTCAGTTCCTAAGTTTACATCAATCGTCTCTTCGATGATAGCCGTTGGTCTTGAATTGGTCAACATGGGAAGTGAGTTCCTCAGGTTGAGGGATTTT